CACACATGGTGCAGCAGGTCCTTCAGCGCTTCGGCTTCACGTAATCCTCGCCTCAGGCCACTCCTCTGCCTACTCGCCACTCGCTCTCAGCTCTGCCTTCGGATGAGTCCGTAGAGTCGAGTGGCCCGTACCCAGAGCTTGTTGGCTGCCTCATGTACCTGATGACCTGCACACGACCTGACCTTGCATACCCTCTTAGCATTCTCGCACGCTATGTTGCTCCTGGGAGACACAGATCGGAGCACATGGCTGCAGCGAAGAGGGTGTTGCGCTACTTGTGCAGTACGTCGGGCATGGGGCTTGTGCTTGGAGGGCAGAGTCCAGTGGTCCTCACTGGGCACGTAGACGCTTCTTGGGCTGACGACCAGGCTACGCAGCGGTCGTCACAGGGTTACACCTTCAGCCTTGGTTCCGGTTCTGTTTCGTGGCGGGCTACCCGCTCGTCTTCTGTTCTCGGCTCCAGTTGTGAGGCTGAGATCTACGCTGGGGCCATGGCTGCACAGGAGCTTCGCTGGCTCACCTACCTGCTGACTGACCTCGGAGAGCCGCCTCGTTCTCCTCCAGTGCTGTACGTAGACAACAAGGCCATGCTGGCCTTGTGTCGAGAGCAGAGACTGGAGCACAGAACGAAGCGCATTGCTCTCTGCTACTTCCTTGCTCGTGAGCTACAGCAGCGTGGTCAGCTGCGACTTGCGTACGTGGCCTCTCAGGCCAACACTGCTGATATCTTCACCAAGGCACTTGCGCCTTGTGATCATCAGCGTTTCTGTACTCAGCTGGGCCTTGTGCCTACCTTGCCTCACTTGCTCACCCCTTGACCTTGTTTGTACTGTTGCATATATATATACACGTGCTCTTGCTTGTCTAGCCTTATATATATACGTAATCCTGCATGTGAACTGGCCTTGTGGCCTTGAACTTGTGCTCGGAATGTGTGGTGACTTTGTGATCCACCCTGAGCTTGCTTTGCTTTGCTTGACTGGTCTTGTGACCCCTTGTTCTCCCCCACTTTGCCTATGGGGGTGTGTCAGATTTATATGACAGAGCTACTGTAGGCTATAGTGGGGTAGCACATATGGGGTACAGTTTTCTAGGGTTTGTATTTGTACCCAACTTTCCCTTAGTCATTCTCATTCCTGTTTTCTTAATTCACATGGGATAGGGGCAGGAGCGCGGGGGACGGAGAGGGGGGGGAAGGCGCGCGCCTCTAGGGCGCCAGAACGGACGGGTGGGGCGAAGGAAGGGGCGTGGCGCGCGCTGCTCCCCTGGGCGCCGCGACGGACGGGCGGGGGGGACGCGCGCGCGGCTCCCCAGGGCGCCGCGACGGCCTGGCGGGGCGCGCGCGGCCTCCCGAGAGCGCCGCGACGAGCTGACGGGGCGCGCGCGGCCTCCCCAGGGCGTCGCGACGACCACGCAGGGCGCCCGCTGGCTCCCCAGTGCGTCGCGACCGACGGGCGGGGCGCTCGCGGGCTCCCGAGGGCGCCGCGACAGACGGACGGGGGGCTCGCGGGCTCCCCAGCGCGCCGCGATGGGCAGGGTGGGGGGCCGCGCGTGCTCCCCAGGGCTCCGCGACGGACGGGCGGGGCGCGCGCTGGCTCCCCCACAGCAGTAAACCGCCGCGCGCCTCGGGGCGCACGGCGGGCAGAAAACCGCCGCGCGCCCCGAGCGCGCGGCGGGATGAAAAATAAGAGGCCGCGCACCACGGGGCGCGCGACATAGCGTAGGGCAGCGGAAGCAGTAGGAGGGCCCACAGGCCAGGAGCGTATGTGCTCTGATTCCATGTGAAGATAGTGTGTAGAGTTAGGAGCCATAGCTAGGTAAGTCCTAGCTAGGCAAGAGAAGTTTAGGCAAAAGAGGAGGAGGTTCACTAGCAGCAATGAGGATACATATAGCAAACCCTAGATGGGTTGTACTCGCTATAGAGCACCCCACTACAGGCTAGAGAATAACATTCTGACAAACCCAATTAGGGTTTATTACTTGTATCTCACTCTTGTATAGTTCGGTCATTCCGTTGTACGATCATTCTAACAGTTTGTGCATGCCATAGCCGCAGTATGATGGTTCGAGTGCATGCTCCGCTGATTGACGACGTCATGAAATACGTTGGAGAAACTTAAATATACACTGCCTGGACAGCAATGCATTAAAGTGTTTGTTCATGTTATTTTATGTATATAAATGTGTGTATATATATATTTACCTGCCTGTAGCTATAGCTTTAGTGTAGTTATAAACTCCTTGTGTTGGTGGTGTACTATTTGCTTATTTCCATGCCTATATCTTGTATGCCCTCCAGTATTGAAACCGCTTCTTTTGGCCAAACTCTCGCTACTCGCCATGCTCTCGTCATCCTTCTCTTAGTCCCCCCCCTAAGCCCTAATCTCGTAAGACACTAAGTTTAGCATGATATCAGAGCTGGTCCCGACCTTACGACCGTCTTATCTTTAAGGGCCCACCGTTAGCCTTCGTTATGGCGTGGCTCGTCAGGTCGCCCGTCACGCTGCAACCCGTCGTGCAGCTTCCGCTCGTCGTGCGCCCCGCTGGCCCCGAACGTCCCCTTACGTTGCGCCCCCTCACAGGCCCTAACGCACGCCTCCTTAGGCTTCGCTACCTGCCCCGTACCAGCGTGTTAGCAGCACGAGCAGCAGCAGCGCGCGCTGCAAGCCAGGGCGCGACCAGAAGCAGCAGCGTGCGTTGCATGCCAGGGCGCCACCAGAAGCAGCAGCGAGCTGCAAGCCAGGGCGCGACCAGGAGCAGCAGTGTGCGCTGCATGCCAGCGCCAGCAGCAGCAACGCGCACTGCCCACCAGCGCCAGCGACCTCGCCCTCCATGCCCCTGCCGCGGCTTCCGCCGTGGGGGGGTGTGGTGGGGGTGGTGGCTATGAATGGGGGAGGCGGGGGTGGATGAAGCCGCCTCCCCTCTCTCCTCTCTCTCCCTACAGCCGCTATCGCTGTGGGGGGGGGGGGGGGGGGTGGGAGAGGGTGAGGGGGTGGCGTGAAAGTCCAGCAGCAGCCTTCTCTCCTCTCCTCTCTCTCCTGCGCCTTCCTCCTCTCACTCCTCTCCATTTTCCAGCCGCTTCCTCCTCCATGTATGCTCCTCCAATCATCTCCGCCGTTGTGGGGGTGAAGGTTTGGGGGGGGGGGGGAGAGATGTTGGAGAGGTTTGTCAAGATAGGTCCTTAGAGGCTAGGGTTTGTGAAGAGAGGGTTGGCCAAGAGAAGGGGTTGCACTATAGAATGCACTACAAGTTATAGGAAACGGGGGAGGCGGTGAAGGGAGGTAGACCACCTAAGACAAGATAGGTGATACTACACTAACTAACTAAACATGCAATTATATAAGAATTACAAATTCTGACAAGGTTGGAGGGGGGTGGCCGCCGTGAAGCCTGCAGTCCCGGTCGCACCTTATCGAAACCACTTCTTTTGGCCAAACCTCTCGCTACTCGCCATGCTCTCGTCATCCTTCCTAGTCCCTCCCCAGAGCCCTAATCTCCTAAAACACTTAGTTTAATAGTTCACTCAAAAAAATGTTTCTCAGGTTTTGCTTCTGTGCTGAGTATTCCTGTTGCACTGCCTGCAATTTTCAAGAGTTTGCATATTGTAGACGAGCTGGACATGGCACATGCCAATGTCTCAGTCACTAGAGCACTGAGATAAAAGGGCTTGTTCCAGATGCGGGTCAGTGCGTCCAAATCCCCCCAGGCTAACATGCCTGTAACCCCCTTAGTATCAATCGGGGATCCACAGCACAAACTGAATGTGATGCGTCGAACCTGCGCCTAAAGCAAGCAAAACGTGTAAGATAGCATGATGGCAGCACATCAGGTGCTACTCACCATTGTGCCTGATTATTCAATGGCATGTTCTGATATGATCATTAAAGCCAGCAGCTAAAATAGTGACCCCCCCCTTCTAGTTGGGTCCACTTGAAAACTGAAGTTTTTTTGGAACAGTTTCGGAACCAACGAAGGGCTGTGCATTTTTATTTTGTCACTCCAGACGAGTCTCGCTGTGAACGGGGAACATTTGGAACAGGTGCACAATTCTGATTGGCAGCGAAACTCACACACAATGCACACATACTTCTGTGCGAATTTGGCGCAAGGTTTCAATGCCTGTATTCACTCGAGCAGTCATCGAAGTTCACAAAACCTCACATCAATCAACAACACAGAATCCAGAGCACACACATATGCAGGAGATGAGAGCGGAGGTGGGCCGACGACCTGGCAGAGCTGCGAGAAAGGCTGGAAGAGGTTAAAAATAGGGAGTCGAAGAACGAGGGGGAAAAATAAGTTTGACAAGGTATCACCAACGGATAGAATGATATCGATGGGGAGAGAGAGAGGAACAACGGCCAGCGAGGGGAGAGTGGAGGAGCGACGGGAAGAAAGAGGAGAGCGGAGGAGCGTCGGGAAGAAAGAGGAGAGAGGAGGCGAACGACGGGATGGGAGGGGAGAGGAGGCGAACGACGGGATGGGAGGGGAGAGGAGGAATGTGAGCGCGATGGCGAGGGGAGGAAGGAACGTGATCGCGATGGCGAGGGGAGGAAGGAACGTGAGCGCGATGGCGAGGGGAGGAAGGAACGTGAGCGCGATGGCGTTAGGGGAGGAAGGAACGTGAGCGCGATGGCGTTAGGGGAGGAAGGAACGTGAGCGCGATGGCGTTAGGGGAGGAAGGAACGTGAGCACGATGGCGTTAGGGGAGGAAGGAACGTGAGCGCGACGGCGTTAGGGGAGTACGTGAGCAAGAGGAGATGAAGGGAACGACCGGATGGGAGGGTAGATTGCAAGGGCGACGGGATGGAGAGCACGAAGGCGACGGGAGAGAGAGCACGAAGGCGACGGGAGGGAGAGCGCTAAGGCGACGGGAGGGAGAGCGCTAAGGTGACAAAATGGAGAGTGCTAAGGCGACGGGAGGGAAAGCGCGAAGGCGACGAAATGGAGAGCGCTAAGGCGACGGTAGAGAGAGCGCTAAGGCGACGGTAGAGAGAGTGCTAAGGCGACGGTAGAGAGAGCGCTAAGGGGACGGGAGGGAGAGCGCGCAGGCGACGAGAGGGAGAGCGCGAAGGGGACGGGAGGGAGGAAGGGCGGGGGGAAGGGCGTTTCGGGGAGAGAGCTAAAGACGACGCGGCGAGCGATGGGCCGACAAATGCATGCGCGAGGGGAGAAAGAGATGGCGACGGGGGGGGGAGGAGAGAGACCCGCTAAGGTGGGAGGGGAGCGGACAGCGGACGAACGACTGGAGGGTATGGGAGATGGCGAAGGCGCGATACAGGAAACTAACACCTGCGGAAGGGTAACGATCGGCGACGCTAGGGAATAAAATTACGATACAACGCTACGTAACAGTAGCGACGCATTCCCGCTAAGTCGATAGTTCCTTACCTTGGCAACAAACACCTATTGTTGTCAGCTATAATATGCTAGGAATGAAACTACTGATTACGGGACGGAGAGCAGCAGCTAGCATGAAACCCAGTTCCAGCTTGAAACCAACTTTGGCCTGGCGATCGAAACCATCGCTTGGCAAGAGTCGTGCAGGTGTAGCACGAAACATGCGACAGAGGAGATCCGCAGGGAAAATAAAATTGGCGGGAACATGAAGAATCAAAGATTGGCGACAGCCAATCACATTTGCTCACAGTGCTTTTCGTTTGGTTTGGAACAGTGCTCGATCGGCCCGTTTTCGGCATCACACTTTCAAGATGGGACAGGGTTCACTATTTTATATTTCGGTTTTAAATAACTCTGATCTTGAAAACTACTACAGTACTTCAGAACTTAAAAACTTCGAATCATAGGCTTTTGAGATTCGTCTCTCGAGGTCTCAAAGTTCTTATCCTGTGTAAAGTACCATCTCCGTGGTTCAAGCTGGACCGAGCATTGACCCAAGTTTGACCATTTCAGCCTCTATACTAACGAGGTGGCTGGGGCGCGCAAGCCCAAGTAATAGAAACGAGTCAACATCGCCAAAGCCGAGCACACAGGACTTTCAAGTAGTTGATGCCGGTGCAATTGAAACGAGTCTAGACTGGCGAATCCGAGCGCATGGGACCTTAGCCGGAGCTAGCTGCGCAGGAGCAAGCTTTACCAGTTTGCCGGCAGAGGGCCTTCGACCAACCCGCTTTCTTCCACCCTTAGGCAAGTCGAGAGACAAATGGGGTAGACACTGACCAGTAAGACCACCCTCTACAGGAAATGCAGACACGGGTTGAGACCACAGGAGTTGTTGATTGTGAGCAATGGGGCGCGGAGACAAGGCATGGAGTGCAGGGAAGCAGGTTTCTTCTGGGATGAGCACGGGACAAGCCAGGGATGCAGGAGCAGGAATGATCTTGCCACTGCAGGCAACCATGTCATGAACTCCAGCAGCCACAAAGTGCTGCTGCCCCTCCGGTGTGCACTCTGCCACACGCCGTGCCTCGAGAATCCTTGCAGCAATCTCTGAGGCTGCAAGGTGGGGACGCACTGCTGTCAATTGAGACACACCTGCGTCCCTTTGGCTGACACTTGCTCTGGGTAGTGGCCAGCAAGGGTTACAATGGCAGCCGTCGAGTGTGTGCAATGGCTCTGTTCTTGAATCCATTCTTCCATTGTGGGGGCATCTGGTAGGTGAATCATCTGGGCTGGAGCTGCTGCTGATCATTCCAGTGCGCCCGCCGTAGCTTTCTACTCTCCATCTGGCACCGGGCTTCCCTGGCAGCTGCTTCTGCCTGAGAGAGGGGAGATGCCGCTGTTGCGCAGGTTGAGCAGGAAGCAGAGGGAAATGACGAGATGCTGTTGCTTCTGGGGATAGTGGAGCTCTGAGGCCCTCATTGCTACAAACCACGCTTGCTGCTGCTGCTGCTGCTGCTGCTGCTGCTGCTGCTGCTATGGCTGCGGCTGCTGCGGCTTCTGCTGCTGGTGCTGCTGCGGCTGCTGCTGGTGCTGCTGCTGGTGGTGGTACTGCTGCGGCTGCTGCTGCTGGTGGTGATGGTGGTGGTGGTGGTGGTGGTGGTGCTGCTGCTGCTGCTGCTGCTGCTGCTGCTGCTGCTGCTGCTGCTGCTGCTGCTGCTGCTGCTGCTGCTGCTGCTGCTGCTGCTGCTGCTGCTGCTACTGGTGTTGGAGGGAAGAAAGCTACAGTGGGCAATGACTGCTGCTGCATCCAGAACAGACGTTTGTGTCCCCACTGTTGCTCTCGTTCTGCTGACTCTAGAACTGACTCCCACTTCGCCCACTGCTCCTGCTCCTCCTCCTGCTCCTCCACATCCTCCTCCTCCTCCTCCTGCTGCTGCTGCTGCTGCTGCTGCTGCTGCTGCTGCTGCTGCTGCTGCTGCTGCTGCTGCTGCTGCTGCTGCTGCTGCTGCTGCTGCTGCTGCTGCAGCACCTTGAAAGGTCTAAAACCGCCGCCTTCACAACCAACGCAGGGCAGCCCGCAAACTTGGTGAAGTTCAACACCACCACTCCCAACCGTGCAACGATCCGACCAACCAATCCAGGCCGTCGGATATCCCTGCAGAGTGGAACACTCGGCAGAAAAGCCGTCAGCATTCCATGCAGCACCTCTATCATGCAACACCCCACCACTGCTGCCACACATGAAAGCCAAGCCATCCTGAGGGCCATGATGCGGGTGATAATGATGGGGGTGATAATGATGGGGGTGATAGTGATGGGGTGAACGAGAGTGTCGGGGACGTTGAGAGGGAGAAGGCTTATAGAGACCCTTCAGAGGCTCCAGTGGCAGTGATCGCAGGCGCTTTCTGGCAATAGGAGGATCAGCGGGGATCGCAGAAGGGAGATGGGCTGCAGTAGCAGGTGCAGCTGTTTCCTGGGCGTGGGGTGGCGGCACGGGTTGCTTCAGCAGCAGGGAGTGAGTAGAGCTGAAGCGCTTTGCAGTGCTCTGGCATGATCCTTCCAGCAGCAAGGAGTCCTCATTGCATGTTGTGCACGCCCCTTCAAGCTGCTGCTCCGGCGGCAGGCTTGCATCGGTGGCTGCAGCAAGTGGCCCAGTTGCACCAGCACGATGTGGGACAGCCTCGGATTCAGCCTCGGATTCAGCCTCGGATTCAGCCTCGGATTCAGCCTCGGATTCAGCCTCGGATTCAGCCTCGGACCCAGCCGCAGCCTTGGCTTCAGCCTGGGCCTCATAGAAGAGGTGTGGGCTGGTGCTCACAGCAAGTAGAGCTGGCAGCTCAGCTAGTACTCTCGCCTTGAGCGCGCCGAGCTCTGCCTTCACATCGCAATCCCCGATCCCGATTTGATTCACTGCTGCTACTGCGCAACCTGCAGCGAGCTCCAACACTTTTGCTGCCTCTTGGAGAGAAATCCAGTCGTCGTGGTTCTGGGTCGTTGGGGTTGTTCCGTGGGTGGATAAAGGTGGTTTTACATGAAGATCTTGCGAAAGACAGTCGTGGGTCAGTAGAGGGACGGCGGTGATGTCACGGTCATCACCTGCCATTCGGTTAAAGAGAACGTCCGGTCGAACTGCCATAATTGCTATGCTAGTCTGGCCTGAACAGAATAAATAGTTGACTCGTCGAAGGCACTTTGACTCCTCTCTGAACAGCTTTGACTCTTCTCCTCTCAGCTTTGACTCCTCTCCTCTCAGCTTTGACTCCTCTCCTCTCAGCTTTGACTCCTCTCCTCTCAGCTTTGACTCCTCTCCTCTCAGCTTTGACTCCTCTCCTCTCAGCTTTGACTCCTCTCCTCTCAGCTTTGACTCCTCTCCTCTCAGCTTTGACTCCTCTCCTCTCAGCTTTGACTCCTCTCCTCTCAGCTTTGACTCCTCTCCTCTCAGCTTTGACTCCTCTCCTCTCAGCTTTGACTCCTCTCCTCTCAGCTTTGACTCCTCTCCTCTCAGCTTTGACTCCTCTCCTCTCAGCTTTGACTCCTCTCCTCGCTTTGACTACTCTCCTCTCCGCCTTGGCTCCTCTCCTCTCCGCCTTGGCTCCTCTCCTCTCCGCCTTGGCTCCTCTCCTCTCAGAATTGCCTCACCAGGCGCTTCCTCTTGTGCAAGATGGCTTCCTAGCAGGCAGTTCCGTGAGAAAGTTGAGGGATGGAATCTGACACGAGTTGGTGGAAGGATCTGTTGCGGCTGTACCAAGGTCTGGTTGCTGGTGCAGCCGCGAGTAAGCATCGAGCGCAGCGACTGAGCAGCATGATGATGCTCATCTGTCAAGTGCGTGGGGTAACAGCCGTGAGGGGAAACTGCGGCCACAGGAATTTCTCCCTGTTTTTGAGCGACAGGTATCGAAAGTAATTCCTTTTCTACCAGGCTCCCCTCGTGTTGAAGCTCAGAAAAGCTTTGAGAAGTTGAGAGAAGTTGAGAGAGGCAGAAGAGCAGCAGATTGAGCTCCGCAGCTGCAGTTTCCAGCAGATGAGAGTGAAATCACCGCAACGATCAGGCACACACATGGTCTGGCATCATACGGCACAGAGCTACGGCATGCGAAGCATGGCATGGCATGAAGGTAGCTGCGACAGGAAGCTCCTGCGATGGAAGGGAGACAAGGGATGCCTAGCTCGGGAGCTGGCAGCATGGCAGCTTGTCGATTTTCAACGACACGAGAGACATGGGCCCGCTTTGCCCTGCATTGCTTGTGCAGACCTGGCGTTTCTGCGGTCCATCACCTCAGTCTCAGGAAAAGCACGGCTTTTGCAAACCCAGGCTCAGGGGATGAAACGACCTGCCTTGATGAAACGACATTCTCGTGCCGCAGAAATTTGCCCTGGATGAAACGACATGCCTTGCATAAAACGACCTCCCCTGAATGAAGCCTTCATGAGGTGATGAATCTCAGCCAGAGATCATGCCTCTCTAGGGTTTTTCCAAATTTCAAAATCGAGTGGCTCGCGAGCATAGGCCGCCGCATGTGCATGGCGGCAAGTTGAAGCACACAGATCGCACAGCATTGCGATCCAAAACCGGTGCAGTGCGACGCAGGCAACATTGACCACAAGGCAGGCGGAAACGGGAGACTTCTGACGCGTCTCAAGACATGGGGGAGAACGGACAGCTTGGAAAATCCGTGTGGAAGCAGCGAAAGGCAGGATCCCTCTCCCTTATGATAGCGCCAGCGTGGCTTTCAACGTTCTGTTTCCTCGCTCCAAATGCGTGCAGAAAACGTTTATAACACAAGCAGAATGTAGATAGAATGTCGCACAATGCGTCGCAGCGGCAACCCTAGAAGATGAAGCCTCCACATCGTGAATGTCTAGAGCTGACATACACCATTGCGATCGAAAAAATGACGGCTAGGATTCAGCGGACACCTCGTGCTCGGGGGTTCGAGTTAGAAGTTGCCGCGATGTAAAATATGACACACAAGTACCGTATACTCCCGGACAAAACACCCCCCCATAATTGTACACCCCCGGGTAGCTTGTGCGGGGTGGGTGTTATGATAGACCTCGTTTCTACTATACCCCCCTTTTTGGCTGATTTTCTATAACACCCCCCTTTTCTTACGGATTCATTATTATAGTCGTTAACGAGTAGCTGCAATACGGAAGAATATCGTGTGAATTTCTCCCTCAATGAAATTTCGCGATACATTCAAAGGCAATCTGCCGAGATTTGCCCCCTCCCACTATTTCTCTGTTGCCACGTGCAGGTGAATCTTCCGTTGCAAGTGGCAAGAGAGGTGCCACATGGCATTTTCGTGAGGGCGATGAAGTTCGAGGCAGAAACTCACATTCGCGCCTCAGGCAGTGATGCTAAAACGACCAGCAAAACACCCACATTGACTAATTAAAAAACACTAACACTAAAATATGCCATATGTAAAGACCCGGGTATTATGTGTTGGAAACAATCGGTCCTAAGCGCCTCTGTCGTGTCGAAACACTAAGACACAAAAGAAACGAAGTATAACGAATCACCGGCGAGTCAACCCTCGGAGGTTGAAAGTAACTGTTGGAGGTTACGCGAAAGTCAAAGGTCAGCGACCTTTGACCTGACAAAGTACAGCGCGACAGCAAGGACAAACAACTGTATCGTATTGAGCAGTTGCCCGAGTCGTCACTGTATCGAACCGCAACAGCAATAGTAAAATGGTTATTAACTGTATCTCTTCGTATTCCTTGTACTCTTATAAAAGCTTGTATCTCTTTGTTTTAATCAACTTACTTTGCCCTCACATACTAGCGCAAGGTGGTTCACAACTCATTAATTAACGCTTCCGTTACTACACCAACTCTACCCAGAGTTCACCCCTGCAAAGATCCTAAGGGTTTTTCAGCCCAACATGGTATGAGAGCTATCAGGGGGAATTCAACTTCTATACCGACAACATCAACAAGCATGGCTACACAAAAGGAAAGGAGCAACTCCAACGGCTCCCAGGGCACTACTCCTACTCCACCTCCTGACTCTGGCCTACAGACAGAGGAGGGCACAGCAACAAGACCCAGAGCAACATCTACCGAGACTCCCGCGAATCAACCTGCAGACTTCGACCAGAGCATGATGGAGAAGTTTTTCTCCTTCATGTCCTTCTACGAGCAACACCAGCAATCTGCACCTGCGCAGTCACACAACAGCAACAACAACGGAGCAACACCCATGAGTCTCGACGGCTCATCATATGCACGAGGAAATCAACAACAGCAGCCTACCTTTGCTCCGTACGAGCGCGGGTCCATCAGCTTTATGCCACACCCACAGCCTTCACCTGGACAAGAAAAATCACTGGACGCATTACAAGTTCAGTCGCAGTTCGCACACGTTCTGAAGATGCAGACGTCAAGACCCTTCGATGGAAAGGACTTCTTCACCTGGTCGTTCGAGTTCGAGCTGATGATGGAAGGCGCGCAGATACTCGGGTTCTTCGACGGGTCTCTGCCATACCGAACAAACGGCACACAGTACGAGAAGCAGCAGTACACCTATCAGTCAATGATGGCGTACACGATCCTACTGAGGAATATCACCCCGACTCAACAGCAGAACATAAGGTCTTACCGAGGTTACGGCAACTCCGCGGAGCTCGCGTACAACCACCTGAAGAGCCTGTATCAAGCAACAGACAGCGTAAGCCAAAGTCGGTTAATGGCGCAACTGACAACGGTTGAAATGAAACCAGGGGAGAAAGGAATGGCGTATATCAGTCGATGTCGCGAGTTGCGCGACAAGCTTCTTCGATGCGGAGGGTCGATCTCTGAAGACGCCTTCGTGACAGTCATCATCGGCGGCCTCGGTCCTCAATGGCGCGCCACAAAGGCCATTCTCCGAGCTCACGGAAGAATCTCCGAAGCAGCGCTCTGCGACGAAATCCACGCCGAGCAGCAAGACATGGACCTGCAAGAAGAACGACACAAAAAGAAGACATCAGCACCGGAATTCGCGTTCCACACTCAGCGACGCTACAACAACAACAACAACAACCGGCAGCAACAACCGAAACCAGTACCTCCGTTCTGCCACATCTGCAAAACTTCAGGACACCCGCGTACGCACTGCCCAAATCGTCAACAGTCAACAACTCCACAGCGGCAACTTCGACCTTCAAGCAGCCAAATCGCCTCAACCCAAGCAAATCCCACGACCCAGATTCAAGCCTCAACGACTTCAACGGGACAACCTGCACAAGGAGCAAGAAACATCGTCAGCTGCATGGCAAAGCTGAGTGACTCCTGCATCACCGAGTCACCACCACACTACTCACCGGAAGAACAACTCGACGAAACCACACCCCGCCGCGAGTCACTTCAGCCGAACCCGACATACGCCGCCATCGCCCAAAGCGAACCATCCGGAAAGGACACATGGTTCTTGGACAGTTGCTGCGGACAGCACATGTGCTCCTCGGGACGCTTCGTTCAACGAGAACACCAACTTCAACGCGAAGTTGTCATTACAGTCGCCAACAATCAGAACCTGCGAACACGACGACAAGGCGTAGTTCAACTTCAGTCAAGGGAAACAAACGTTATACTGCAGATGTCAAAAGTACTAATCGCGGAGGGACTCGGCTACAACTTACTGAACGTCAGTCAACTAATGGCGAAAGGGATTCACCTCGAAGCAGACAGCACCACCCAAGAATTCAAGCTGTATCACGGGAGAGGAGGACTTTACATCGACAAGGCGGTCCTCAAGAACAACGTCTTCGTTCTCGATTTCGTTCCTGATCTTGGCACCGCCGACAGCGACGCCATCGTTAACTTCACCAACTGGACACACCCTCCAGACCTTGATCCAGACTTCAGTCCAGAAGGCTTCTGGTATTCACACACCATCCCTGAAGCAGAAAGAACAAGGGCGTTAGCAACAATTCAGACAACATCAGCAGCAGCAGAGACAACATCGGCAGCAGCAGAGACAACATCGGCAGCAGCAGAGACAACATCGGCAGCAGCAGAGACAACATCGGCAGCAGCAGAGACAACATCGGCAGTAGCAGAACCATCAACGGCAGCAGCAGGAACGTCAACACCAATTGCTGGTCCTTCAACGACACCGCTCCTCATCGACGACACACCACCGACACC